CTTTTAATCTATTCTTATTTAGTTAGAAAATATAGATTTACCTTCAATAAGTTAGTGCTTGATACATTTTTAAACAAAAAAACATGTAATGCATCACCATTAAAAATTATTATTCTTTGCCTTCAATATTTAAACTTTTTGATCAAGTGAGTAAAATTAAGATCTATATTAAGATAAATCTATAAATAACTTAAAATTGATACATATTAAAGAAAGAGATAAATAAAAAAATTACATTTTAAATTATCTATGGTTATATAGAATGAACTATTATGCCTATTTGGACTTACAAATGATGTTGTTTTCTAATGTTTGATAAAAAAAAAATTTCATTTATTTTTAGATATTTTTTTATATTAATTAAAATATATTTTAATTGATTCTAAAAATATAAAAATTATAAATAATACATTTTACTTGTTCTATAAAACTTAGAGTTAGAAAAATTTAAGCCAAGATTGAAAAATGTATATTTTACACAATTTAAGTGGGATTTTAAGGATATATTAATTTAAAAAATAGTTTAAAAATCGATTAAAAGAAATTTTAGACCATTGTAGATTAGGTAAATTTAAAAACAATACATGATTTTCAATGCATTTTAGAATTTGTAAACTATTATCAAATATTTATCCAATTTTTTTAAGCTATTATTTTTTTTACATAATTAACTTTCAAAAAGAAATCAGAATAAAATAAAGATGTAAAGTAGCAATTCAAGATTAAAAAACAACTTTTATCTCAATTCCTATTTTATATTTCCTAGATTTTTTAAAGCCAATATTTTATTAAAAAAATACATCATACTTTGTATTATGTGCAATTTTATGACAAATAGATATAGATGATAAATTTTATCCTATTGTCTTTTATTCAAGAAAATTTTTAGCAACTAAGATTAAATATAAAATTTAAAACAAATAATTATTTATTATAATAGATTTATATCAAAAATAGTAAGACTATTTAGAAGATAATTTTTATTTAATTACGAGTTATATCAATAAAAAAATATTAAATATTTCATTTTATTAAGTATCTTAAATCTATTTTATATATATTTTTTATGATTTGTATTTAATATTACATATTATTTCTAAAAAAAATAAAGCTTATTAGATGCCTTATTTAGATGTTTATATATCACACTATTTTTATTTATTTATTTTAAATATGACTAAAAATATAATATTATTTTGAAACAAAAAAATTACATCTTTAAGCTATTAAGTAATTATTCTTATAAATATTCATTTTTTTTAATGAAATTTATTTAAATACATCAAAAAAAATTCTTATTTTTAATGTTCAAAATAAAATTTAAGATGGATTTATTAAATTTTAGTTTAATAACAATCTTTTATATTATAAAAGATATTTATATGTTCTAAAATTTCAAGCACAATTATGTGTAGTAGAAACATAACATGACTTTCTAGTAGGAAGAGACTTTGGATACAACAATACTTTAGAGTATCGTGGATATACATAGATATTCTAGTAAATACTTATATGATTAGGTAGAAGTAGGTAAAAATAGATAAAAATAGGTTAATTTCATAATACCTTTTAGAGAAGCTTTCTAGAAGCTTTATAGATACTACTTGATTTTACATGTGTTTGTAGTTAATTAATAGGTTAGAAACTTGGTCAACAAATAAACCACATGTTGATAGCTTGGGGAACAAGTTAACCATGTGGCACACATATAGAAAACTTGCCTTGTAATTTTAGATATGTGTCTTGTAAAGTCAACATGTTTTGGAGATCCTATGGGACATCGCCATGTAATTTCTAATTAAGAATACATGTAGAAGCAAGAATGAAGCCTTCTTCACTCTTGTCAATGCCTTTCTAGTCCTTAGTCTTATTTCGAGACTTTGTAGTCTTCTTGTCTTTGGCAATAGCCATTATAATTCAATAATATATCATCTTTGAGTGACTTTTTAGTTCTTTTTAGTGTGACAAGAATATATTGAGGATTTCTTTCTTTGAGATTCAAGTCCTTGATATAAAACTTATTTCAAAAGATTTTTGTTGGTTCCAAAAGTGAAAAGAGGTCAAAACATTTTTTTAATTATATAACTCTTTTTTTTGAGTAAAGACTCTATATCATTGATTCTATGGATTTTTACAATCTCTACCTATTTTAAAACAAAATAAATTATTTATTTTAATAGACTTCATGACAAATCTTCTAATTTCAAATTTTATGAGGCTATTTTTTTAATAGAAGATTATTTATCCAAAAAGATATAATTTATATCTTATAAAAAAACTATTATGGGTGAAAAATCAACCAAACTTTTATTTGATAACATCTATTGATATCATAGACTTCTATATGATATTATATTTGATTGTGGACTTCAATGTACATCAAGTTTTTAGAAGAATTTTTGCAACTTATTAAAGATTGATGTTAAATTACCTTTGGATTTTTAACTTTAAATTATTAGACATACTCACCGTGTAAATTAATAATTAGAGTACTATAAACTATCACTAAGACAATTGGATAACTTTCTTGTCTTTAGAGCAATTTCTATATAATAATATAATACATCCTTATGTTTAAAAATCTATAATTTTTTTCTAATTATGATTGTTATATATAATATGATATTTTTATTTTTTTAAAATTAAAAATCAAATAATAGAAGATTTTGTTAAGGAGATTGATAAAGCTTTACATAACAATAAAATTATAATTAAAAGTTTCTTAAAAATAACAAAAATCTAATATTGATGTTTTTAAAAAATATCAATATATATTTAAAATTAGTGATAAGGTGTGATTACTTTGTCATAATAGCAAGTCCAATCAACATTATAAGAAGATGGATTATTGAAGGCTTTGCTTATTTATTATCTAAAAATACATAAATCTAATTACATATTAATTAGAATTACTGCAACCAATAAAGATCCATCATAAATTCAAGAAGTCTCTTATTGATCCTTACACTATAATTAACATATTAAGAATAAAACAATTATTACCATATTTTATTGAAATAATTAATAATTAAAGTTTGAAGTTAAAAAAGTCTTACATTCAAGAAAATACCAAAATTAGATAGATTATCTAGTACATTGATGTAGATATGATTTAAAAAATATACACAGAAGGTCTTTGAGAATCTTACAAGTTTTAGGATAAGAGCTTGTTGTTGATTTTTATTGATAATATTTATATATATATATATATATATATATATATATATATATATATTTAATACAATAGTATTAATCAAGAAGAAATAAGTTTTAGAATTGACTTATAGAAGTTCTTAATAAATATGGAGAATCAACAACCATTATTCTCATCTTGAGAGTTGTTATTTGCGAAATTGCTATGTGAAGGACGTGAAGGACTTATATTATTTTTACTTAGACAATGTGACAATTAAGATGAAGATCTTCAAGAGAGACATCTCTTTTCCATGAATAGATGGCATGATATTATGCAATTGATACTATAATCTTAATAGATACTATCAATGCTTAGTGATATTACTAGAGTTGGATATTATACTTTAAAGAATGTAAAATGTGTTGTTTGAAGATATTTATGAAGTCTTCAATAATGATTAAGTGAAAAAAAAAATCTTTTTGCCCTAGTATAGAATATTATCAATGGTTAGAAAGACATGTCAACCACCTTCATAGAGTACACAAATTGGATTTTGTTGCTAATACTTTTTTACAAATCTTCAACTTCATGAAATTATTTTGACCACTCTATATAAAATATACTACCTACAAGAAGAATTATGTAAAAAATGCTTGTATCACTTAAATAAATAGGAATAAATAGAAGTAAGTAGAAGTAGGTAGAAACATGTTTGAAAGATAATATCTTTCTTAAGAAGTTTTGAAGAAGTTTCTTAGATACTGATTAGGTATATAGTCTTTTATATTTATATATATATATATATATATATATATATATATATATATATATCATATAACTATTGACAATTGTGCTACAAATTTCTTACTTTTGAGAACTAATATTAAAAACATACATGCACGTGACTCCAATTATAAAATCTACAACTAGATTTTTAGACTACAAGCCTTGTGGTCCCTAGAAAACTTCTACAAAACCTTTATAACTTATATATATATATATATATATATATAGAAGCAAGACTTAGACCATCCTCAATTTTATCAACATCTTTTTTGTGTTCTAATCTTAATTCAAAACTCCACAATCTCTTTATATTTGGCAATATTCATTTTAATCTTTTTTATCTCATAATTATTTCTTCTATCTCTACTTTCTTCTTTATTCAATGATATATTAATATATTATATTTTTGGACTTTGCTATAATAAATTTCCTTAATAAATACCCCCCTTAAATAATTAACTAGGACTTTAAAATATATAACATAATATTACTATTATAATTAAAAGCAAGAAAGTTAACTCTTTTGTTTTCTTTTATAATCTAATAATGTATATAGTTTTCTAAAATCCACAAAGCCATTTTTATACCCTCTCCAACCTCATCGACTCAACACCATCAAATCCACTAAAACCGAACATTTTTTTAAAAAAATAAAAATAAAAATCAGCAATGAAACTAAACCACACAGCTTTAGGTAAAAAAGAAGAAAGAGAAACATCTCTTTCAAACAGACACAGACAGCAAACAAAGAGAAACCACCAGAATTACAAAAAGCAAAATGCAGCATCCATCGCAAAGCCAAGAGAAAGCAAGCATGGTAGGGAGATGGGCATGGCAAGAATGCTGTAAGCAAGCACAGCAACAAAGGCAGAGAAGGGTGGAGAACATGAAGACGCCGCTCAGCCAGACTTGGAGTGGGGGGCACTCCCTCACTCCGTCCCTCACTCCCTCGTCCATCACTCCCCGCAGCAGCAGCAGCAATGGCCACGTCACCCAAGCCAGACAGGCCCATGCCAAGCCCAAGCCCCCAGGTCAGGTCTGGTCAGGTCTGGTCAGGTCAGTGAAGTCCCGCCACGCCCCGCCGTGTGGGATCGCGGTGCGTTCCGAAGCAGAGTTGGCTTGGTTTGGTTTTGCCTCTGATGAAGAGAGGTGAGGTGGGTTGAGAGTTGAGTTGAGGTGCAGGAACGCAGCAACGCAGCAACGCAGGCCAGGGTTCATGCTTTGTCGTCGGCTTCGCCGTCAACATCTGCTGCTGCTGAGGAAGCACGGTGGATCCATTCGTGCGCACACGCCTCGTTAGCCATGACTCCTCCTCCTCACTGCTGCTCCTTCCTCCTCTCTGGGTCCCTCTTCCTCCCCACTACCCACCTCTGATTTCTGCCTCTCCAGTCGAAGTTTTCCGATTTGGATCACGCGTGTGCTGTTTCTGCGCTCTAGGCGTGCTTGAGTGCTACTGCTCGTTCCTGGGGTAGCTCGAGGCTATGGGGAACACTTTCCGCAAGCTCTTTGACTCCATCTTCGGCAACAAGGAGATGCGGGTACGTTCATATCTGCCGAACTCCGTATCGCGGTGATTGTTGGCGTCTGTGGTGAATACTTGTTTGTTGTCTTGGTTCGTGGGTTGTTGCTGTTCCTCTCGTGATGGGGGCTGAAGGTATCCTGGTTATTTAAATAATAAATAAAAAAATAAAAAATCCCGAGGAGATTGGTGTTTGTGAAGTGGGTATAGTTTTAAGATCTTTATTTCTAGGGTGTTTTTCCAGGGTGTGCATCCGTGCCTTGATAAGAGCGAGGGGTTATCTTGGGGTAATTTAGAGTTAAGGTTGCGGCTGCTGTTTGAGCTGAGAAGCTATCCCGCTGGCTCAAAATGACATGGGTTCGAAGGGTCTGTTATAAATCGCGAATGTATTTGATTTTGGCGGCGATTATCACTTATTTCTTTGGAGTAGTCTAGAAACTTATCAGCCCATCGTGCAAACTGACTTTGAGTTTCACCAGTCACGGTGGAAGGTGATGGGTTATTGTGTCGATTAACCCTAATTTTGACTCACACATATATCTTGGGCCGGGACCGTAAGTACAAACTGTGGTTATACAGCAATAGCACTGTCGGAGTTGTTAGTCGGTGGCGAGGGCGTTGTAGTCAGGCAGTTCTGCGTGGCAGTGTTCATGTGTTTATGCCATCAGTTCATCTAGCGCAGGATTTGGATGACTATTCAATACCCTTGGTATGTTTCACGTGCAGCCACTTGAGACGATTTTCTCGTCGTATCCTTGTGTAACCTTTGCAATTCCACATTGAGGATTACAGGAACTGATACGTAATGCTGCTGCATGTAGTGAATCAGTCCACACTTAGTTGGATATTCTGTTCGTCAGCAGAGGATTACTTTTTCCATTTTTTTTTTCTTCCCAGCAACGGTTGATGGAATCAGAAGAGGAATAATGATCGCAGAAGCTGAGAAATTCTTAAGCAATGGTGTCCAAGATGTATCATTTTTTTGCATTGACGCAATATTCGTTAATTGACTGTCACAACTCCTCGAGTTAGCTTTCTCAGACAGAGGTGGATGGTTTACTTTGAATTTGGAATTTCAAATTTTGATTTGGGCGAGATGGTTGTTTGTATTTCTTACATATCCTGTGGATCTATTCTACCCGTTTACATTTGTTTTATTGGTTTTAATTTAATATTTGATTACTACACAGCTTCTAGTCTGAATTTGAGAGTCGAGACTCATAATTCAAATGGCTGAAGCTTAGTGCTCCGGGTTCTTGAGTGCAATGAACTAGCTTTCACTTTAAGCTCTTGTAAGATGTATATTGAACTTCAGAGCACTGAAAATTACCCTGTAAATCATATCTAGGTCATCTGCACAATGTAATGTCTAAGTTTCTTTGCTTATAAACCCTAGGTTACTATGCTGCTACTGAACTATCCTGTTTATTGAATAATGCTGTTCTTATTTAGATACTTTCTTCACTTTCAGCGTGACAATCGAAGCTTCTAGTTGACCTTTTGAAGTAACATTCAAAGCTTCAGGATGTTGATGATAGAGATTTACACGGGGAATAAAATGGTTCGTGTCTCATGTATCTGGCAGGTGGTGATGCTTGGATTGGACGCGGCAGGCAAAACTACCATTCTCTATAAGCTTCATATCGGGGAGATTCTATCCACCGTTCCTACCATTGGTAGCTTGACTTAACACTTCCAGTTGATCCTTTTGTATTTGAAAGAGCCCCTCTTCGTTTCTGCTTATTTGATGTATTTGCTTATTTGACGGTGTTTTGTTTGATGTATTATTCTGTGTCGAGTGCTGGTGAATTTGCTTTCGAGGATGTCATTTGTTAAGTTGTTGTGGTTATGCAATATTCAGGGTTCAATGTGGAGAAAGTTCAGTACAAGAACGTCGAGTTTACAGTGTGGGATGTTGGAGGTCAAGAGAAATTGCGGCCTCTGTGGCGGCATTATTTCAACAACACTGATGGTTTGGTAAATTATCTTCATTGGATATCATCTCTCAAGTAATCATCATTGTATGGATATTAATTTTACTATAGATTGTTGTGAGCACAATTCTAACGCTAGATTACGCTTACGTTGCAGCTCTCTACCTGTCAGGTAAAAAAATGGTACTAAATTATACGAGTTGGTCTGTAATGGGTTTCTCTACATTTTGGTGAAGTGGATTTACTTGAACATATCCTGGATGTGGATCTAGGGGAGTTAAGGTTGGTTGATATCAGTTCGTATAGAGTGGCTGTCGCTGAAAATGATGCTTATGTAAGAATTGAAACAGATGCATGAAGCTCCAGGAGTTTCTTATAAAGCTTTGATGTCAGTTGAATTGTTTGGAGAAGTAGTTGAAGGGTTTCAAGCGTTGTTTGAGCATGCTACTTATGTGTGAGTTCTGCTGGTTTTCCCAGATCTATGTTGTTGATTCATGTGATAGAGAACGAATTGGCAAGGCAGCGACTGAATTTCAGGTATCAAGTGATTTTCTGCTTCTGGTTTATTATCCTGTTAAGTGTTTGAGCGTAACAGAAACCAATTATTGGTCGTTTCACTTTTTAGTTTTCAATGCAGCTCAGAATTCATGCTGACTTATTATCTGCTCATATTGTTGATTTAATCAGCTAGATGCAGCAGCCTCTAGAGACCCCTTTTCATACTTTTCAAACAGTGATCGTATCGCGCGACATCTTACTTAGATAGCTATGCTATTTTGCATGTTTTAATTTGTGATGCAGCAAATCATAAATGATCCACTGATGAGGAATAGTGCAATTCTTGTATTTGCAAACAAACAAGATATGGTAAGTTCATAAGCTTCGATGTGATTGAATGATGGTAGAATCACTGCATTGGCGATTGTCTTCTGTGTGACGTTTTCTTTTGACTTAAAGTGAATTTGGTACGTCCTGTCACAAATCGCTTCTCCAAGCACTGCCCCACAACCATTATATAGGTTCTTAACTTTGCTGGTGCTGATTGGTTGCAGAAAGGAGCTTTGAGCACTGCAGAGGTCTGTGAACAATTCGAGCTCTTTAATCTCAAGAATCGAAGATGGCAAATTCAAGGCACATGTGCTCCCAAAGGTGAAGGCTTGTACGAGGGGCTCGACTGGCTCGCCACCACATTAAAACAGATGCAAGCAGCTGGGATTTCTACCTCTGTAAAGGCTGCTTGACGTTTTCGTTAGTTAGTTAACTTATCCTTGCGGAGGAGGGACATTGTGTTCAAATTTTATTTGCCCTTGTAATTAGTGGCTGGTGCTAAATCTATTAGTCTACATTTTATGTGTTGAGAGATATCAAATTTTAGTTAAATATTTGGCACTCTAGGCTTAGACCATCTGCAGCAATATTTGTGAAGATTCGTTGCGATTCTTTAGGGGTTCTTACTTCGCAGCATCTTTCTGCTTGGTTCGCTTTGTGGGACGTTCACTGCTGCTCTTGCCACCAGTTAGAGGACAATCACTTCCTTTTTCCTGTTGGGCTGTGTTGTATTTCCACGTTCCCAAATGATTCTTTTGTGGAAAAATTGCACAGAACATCGAGCTAGGAGTATGTATTATCCTCTAAATTTAGTCTTCACTGCTTTGTCCATAGCCTTTTATCAGGTTGACCTGATTGGTATGGGTTCATGATACAATATTAAAATGTGCATCCAAGTCAAATTAGAGTTGGTCTGTCAGGTAACATTTCATTTTAAAATGCAAGCAATTTTGAGAACATCATTTTGATGAAATGTATTATATTTAGAACATTTATCACAATTAATCAATAGTTGAACATTGTCTTACAAAAGCTATTGCTTTTGTATATGGAGCAATATACAATATGTTAATTAGTAATAACAACTAATTAACATACTTATGTACAAGCCTATTTCATTGAAATGTATGATAAGTATCATGATATCTTTCAAGAACCCTTTATAGCAAACATAGAACATTGTGCCATACCTTGGTACTATAATTGTATTGTGTTCAACCACATGACTAAAAAACAAGAACTTTTAACTAGTTTTAAGCTAATTACATCTAATGGCAATATCACTACCAATGGTGCAACACTCTCAATTTTTTGTAAAAGAATTGCCACTATTGATAGTAAAACTTTGACCAATGTTTTGTATGTACCACATCTAAGAAAAAATCTCATCTTTGTGAAAAAAGTAGCTAATGCTAGATTTAATTTAACATTCTTATTTAGCTTATATGATTAACAAATACCGTCATATATCCTATACATAATACAAGAATTGTATAATAGTCTATATAGACTCTAAAACCAAATGTTAGATTCTACAACTATGGCATGTCATTTCTTAGATGCAATGTATTCTTCAACAATGTCCACAATACTTGTATTGGATGAAACTACTACATTGCTTGCAAGTACAATCATCTTTGTTGGCACCCCTGCAACCTCATTGGCAATGAACTTTGTGATTATTGCAATGTCTATGTATCCATTAAAAAATTATTCACATATGTATTAAAGCAAAAAATATGTCATTGTAGCAATTGTGCTAAAGTAGCTTGCACAACCATTATCTAATGGATTATAGAATATATATATATATATATATATATATATATATATCCAATATCAATGGTATTATTGATGTTAGACAGTATGCCAATGCATGTATATCAAAGATCAAGCTTCCAACTCTCTCACATGCTACGAAGCTATTTTCAACCACTTACACAAGTGAAATATCTACCTCTTCATCTTTACTTAAAAATATCACATCAACTCCACCTATTGCAAATTTCAAAATAAGTATGGATGAATCAAAGGCATATCCTACTCTATAGCAATTGCACTCTCAACACCTAAAACTAGCTTACTACAAGTACTAGGAATCCTAAATTCACGATCTTTTATATTTACAAGATAGTTTATATATACTTGTATAACCTCTTTTTCATAAAGTAAACCATACCTCCAAGGATCGCAATGATCTCTTGCACAAATACTTTAGTTATCTAAAATATCAATCAATCTACCACAGAACGTATAGTAGTTGTCCATAAGAATTCCATCACTATGATTTATAAACATAGATGTTTTTCTTGTATTTTGGGCAAAAAACTTAAAGAGAGGATTCAAAAAAAAAAAAAAAAACTCAATCTACTACTAGTTGGCCACATAAATTCCTCCACACTAACCTTTATAGATTGTTAACATTAACTTCTAAGGGCAAATATATCCTCGTATTTATTGATGACTTTACTTGATTTACATATTTTACTTTTTAATTAAAAAAAGAAGATATTTTTGTACTTCTAATTTTTTAAATAAATAATCAAAAAAAAATTCAAGCTTAGAATCTTATGCTTATAAAGTGACCAAAGTAGCAAATATTTCTCTATTTATTTCTTTGGAATTTTACTTCACATAAGATATAAGATGACAACTTAAAACTCCATCTATTCTCCACCAAAACGGCTTTGCTAAGTAGAAGTACATTCTTTTGGAGGTTGTGTACATCATCTCTTGTTATGAAAAATTCCTATTCTTTCTATGGCTTAAAACCATCTGAATTGCAACATATGTTCTTAATCAATATTCCACGTACACATTCATCAATAAAACATCCTTTGAAATGCTCTATAATAAGAAACTAGACCTTGTTACATTTGCATTCTTAGATGCATATCATATGTATACATTTCAAAAGAACTCAATTACAAACTTCAAGTAAAGGCTATAAAATGTGTACTTTTTGCCTATGGTGTCTCTACAAATGGATATTGATATTATGACCATCTTCAAAAAAGAATCCTCATTATATTAAATGTGACATTCTTTTAGAACTAGTCGGAGGACTTTTCTTTCTCACAAACAACTCTCAATTTTTTTGATAATTTATTATCTTTCATTGATATATTTGCATTGGCTCTAGAGTTAGAGAAACAAATACAAGTAAATATCCAAACTAAAGACAAACTCAAGAATAAATTAGCATATAATGATACATTTCATAAAAATATAGAACATCAACTTATTCTAAATACACTACATCATGATATTCTTTTATCTCAAATCTAAATTGAACCAATATCCAACTTGCCAACTTGAAGGTCTATAAAAATCACCAAACGCATCATACCTATCTAATTTCAAAACTACAATCTCTATATATTAGATAATAATAGTATATATAATATTAAAAAAAAATTAATTAATGGAGTAATAATGTAGAAGTTGAAGAAGTTCTTAACAATCTATTGTATAAAGTAACTATATAGTAACAATATGATTTATTTATAAAAAAATTATACTTATATCTTCATAGAGCTATCAACAATATTTTATAATGTCTTATCTTACTTAATAATACATCAAATACTTGGCTGTAGAAGATAAATTAGAAATTGCATCAAAAAAGGTCTTAAAAACTCTAATAGAATCCTATATAAATTCTAATTAAACCTTAATAATTTCAATCTAATCTTTCAAATTTTTTAAAAATCTCAAAGAATTTTATATTTACCTTTTATTAATTTTAATACATATTTTAATACATATTTTATACCTTTAATATCAAGTTTGGACCTCATACAATCAAGTATTTTCATACAAGTAATGAATCTAAAAATCCTCATGTATAAAATACAAGGTTTTTTGTTATTCCAACTTTCTTGTAGAATCATTGATATGAATGCGCTTACAGGATACTTATTCCTTGTATATATTGTTGTAACCATAGCTTTTGCTAAATATTCATGGCCAAGGTTTTGTGCTTGGAGCATACTTTTTACCATCTCTACAATGATGTGATTTACTCTTTCAACAACTCCATTTTGTTGTAGAGTATAAGGAGTAGAGATTTGTCTTGTAATGCCTTGAATCTTTAAAAAATCATCAAAATTCTTTGATATATACTCACTTCCATTGGCAGTATGTAACATTTTAATCTTGCACTCTCATTGCTTTTCTATAAGTGCTTTAAATTCCTTAAACCTTGAAAAATACTCACTCTTGACTTTAAAGATATAAATCTACATCTTTCTTAAAAAAATCAGCAATAAATGTGGTAAAGTACCTTATTCTTCCAACTAATGGCATCTTTATTGATTCACAAATATTAAAGTATATAATTTTTAATAATTTTCTAGCACATATTACAACTCATCTTGGAAATAAAGCCCTTCATTGATTGCCTTAAATACAACCTTTACAAGTAAGTATCATGGCATTGTGCTTGAATTAACCAAGATCCAAGCCACTTACTACGGATTGGAGTTCTTTCATGCTTTTGGCATTCAAATAACTATGACGTTGATGCCGAATTTCAATTTGTCTTGATTTTATAAAAACTCAACAAATGTTGCCACTTCAATTCCATTCACCTTCTTATAATTGATAAAGTAGAGGTTGCCATCTCTAAGGCCTTCGGCAACATGTTGTCCATTTAATATCTTTACAAAATATCTATCTATATTAATTTAAATCTTACAACCATGTAATATAAGTTAATTTACTGAAAGAAGGTTCTTCTTCATTTTTAGTACCTATGGAACTTTCTTCAATTTGATCTTCTTTATTTGGTCGTTCACAACAATTTCTACCACAATATAGCCAATTCCAATGTCTTGCATCATGTCATTGTCTTTCAACCAAATATTTGTTATTAAAATTATTTTATAAGTATCAAATGAATACTTATATGGTGTCAGTGCTTAATAACATCCAAATCTATAATCTACTTGGATATGGCAGCTATAGAAGATCCTTCACTAGCTATGAAATTATTATCATCTCTACCAAAACTATCAATAGTATTGTTTATATTCTTCCTATCTTCTTTCTTGACCTTATAATAATTTTTTATAAAGTGACTTGGTTTTTCATAAATATAAAAAATTTCATATTATTTTTTAAATTATCATATTGGTAAGAATAGCTATATTTGCCTTCTCTTGAAAATAGAGCCAAATTATCACTTTAAAGCTTCTTTTTTTTTCTTAGTGATGTCATAGACTAGTCTTGATGCTACATAATTCATAGTAAACTCATTCATATTAATAGACTCCAATACCATAATGAAGTAGTTGTACGATTCTAAAAGATTCATGAGTAATGTCAATACAATGTCTTTATCATCAATTGGCTTGTCAACAACTATTAATTGGTTTGCAAGTACTTTTATCTTATTAATATGAGCCATAAGATCATTTCTTTCTTCCATCTTTACTGTAAAAAACTTCCTCCTTGTCCATAGAATATTGGAAGGTTTCTACTCTCATAGATATTGCAAAGAGTCTTTCATGCTTTCACTGCTACATTACAAACAATTACATGAGAAAAGTTGGCATTATTAAGATTTATTACAATCATACCAAAAGCCTTTCTTTCACAATTTTTTATTCTTTCTTCACCTTGACATCAGCATCATTGCTTGGAGGCTCTTCACTTTCATTAATAATTTCCTCAAAGTCCAATGAAGCTAACAATAGCTCTATTTTTTTCTTCTAATAGTAGAAATTGTCACGTCTAAAATTTTCAATCAGTATCAAGTTCTCATATTCATTTGAAGCTATAACTAATAAAAAGGTGTATCAAAGTAAATCAAGAAAAGAGAAGATAAAGTTTTTTAAATAAACAAGAAGATATTAGTGCCTTAAAAATCCAAATTCCTTTTTTGAAAGTAAATTAGTAATTTTACACTATAATCACTCTCAACTCTTACAAGAATACTTTTAATCTCACAAATATCTTTTTATTACTATAAGAAGATGTCTTAAAAAATTCAATACATAAAAGTACAATATTAGTGCATCAATGATATAACTCAGCAAAGAAACACAATGCTAGTATTCTATAATATCATTCTAAGGTGATTGATACCTTCTAATACAATGAATGTACTTAACAATAAATAAGAATAAAACTACATCAATAATTAGATACAAAAGAGAATTTAGAAGATATCAAATTTTAATACCAGTAACAACTATAAGATATATTTCTTATAATAAAAAAGACTTCAAAGAACTTCAAAATTCACAATTAAAGATGAGTGGACTTATAACCTATTAAAAAAAAAAAAAAAAAAAAAAAAAAAAAAAAACTTTGAAGTCACCAATACATAGCATCAACAAGGTTATTCATAAAGAGAGTATGGAATAAGATATCTCTTACTTCTAAGACTCGTTACTCATAGGTAGTGGCTACTGTCCTAATGGACAACTTCCATCCTTTCATTAATATATACATTTAACATTCTATTAAGACTATCCATAGTTATCTTATCTACTATGAAGATATACTTTTAGTATATCTTCTATATTCTTAAGATCCTTTATACATTCATGTATCTTATTCCTTAGCCTTCCAACATATCAAGAATCAATCCTTTAACCAATAGCAATTTATCTAAGATAATATTTTCTACATTATAACTTATTTTAACTTTATTTTTACTTATTTACTTTAATAATGATTAGACAATTCTTTAGCTATTGGTAGAATTTTCTTATAATAATATGGTACATTCTTCTATGCAATAAATTTTTTTTTGCTAATTATGATTATCATTCATAACTTTATGCTTTTATCTTTACAAAAGTTAATAATCTTAAGTCATAAGATTTGACAAATTTATTGTAAGAAATACATACTATGAAGGCATAATTAAAAGAAGCTCAAGAATGAGAAAAGACCAATGCATATGTTTATTAGTAAGAGTAAGCTTAATTCTATATTTGTAATAAGATATGATTATTTTGTCACAATATTAAGACTAATCACCCTTATATCAAATTGGATTACTATAGAGTTTGACCATTTAATATTTTAAAAAAAAATCGATCTGATTGCTTATTGATTACATCTATCAAAGTCTATAAAAATCCATTATGTATTCTATATGTGTCTTCTTGAATTATATAAAACAATGAATATCTTGAAAAAAGACAAATATCATTTCTTCTTGTAGAAGTAGATAATAATCAAGAGTTTGAAATAAAAGAAGTCTTAGATTCAAGGTAGCTCCAAAATAAGCTAGAATATCTTATTCATTGGTACAGATATGATAAATGTAAACACACATAGGAGCCAACAAAGAATCTTATAAATTCAGCAAAGAAGATTGATGCTTTTCATCAACAACATCCATTAAATGTAACATAAAGAATAACAAATATTTACCATAAAATAAACAAGATTCAAGGAATATATCATTTTACCTTCTATCTTTATTTGTAATTTCTATACATTTATAACACTAAAAAGATAGAGAATCAACAACTAATAAATTTAATTTAAGAATTATTATTTGTTAACTTATTAAAAAAGACATTATCATTGTTATAGCTTTCAAGACAACATTATAGAAATAAAGATCTTTAAGAATAATATATTTTTCTTCAAATAAATGACAAGATATAACTTATTTAGTATCACAACCTTTGAAGAAACTTCCAATATTTGGTGATTTTATTGAAGGTAGAAATGACTCTTGATGGTATTCTAAATGTTTTATTTGAAAGAAGTTACAAGGTCTCAATAATAATGAAATAACAAGGTGGTCTTCTCACCTTAATATGAGATACTATTGATAGCTGAAAGGACCTATTAATCACCTTTAAAAGGAAGAAAGATCAAAATATTTGGCAAATATAATTCACCACATTTTAGACTTCTTCAACATATGATGGTATTTTTTTACAAAACTTGTTTCTAGAAAGAAAAATAATGTCATAGACATACATATTTAAGTAGATAAGAAGTATTAAGTAGAAAATAAATGTAGGTGGATTTGATATTATCTTGTGGCAAAGCTTCTTAAAAGCTTTATAGATATGTATTTGATTTTATACATATTTATAGTTGATTGGTAGGTTAAAAACTTGGCCAACAAGTTAGCTTTGTATCACACATGTAAATAGCTTGTGGTACAATCTAATGAAGTAGTGCACATACAAGAAACTTATCTTACAAGTTAAAACTTGTGTGAGTATTTACTCAATATGATCTTACTCTATAGCTTCATAAAATATAAGATCTGATGTACATATTAATTAAAATTATTGATATATTTTAATTAGGATCAATATTATACACTTATTCACAATCTTTTTATATTGCAAGGCTGCTAAAATTCTTTGCATCTTACTTAACCTATACTACATAGAGAATAAATCATATTCAATGGAAAGCTCTAACACCAATATAATACAACAAGGATATTAAAGATTTTATTTGTATGAGTTATGTTGATGTTTTCCAAATGTATATATATATATAGAAACATGTTGGTACATACACTCACTATACATACACTATAAGGGTTGTGTTTGTGTCTCATTTTGAAAGAATTATGAATAGAAAGTCTGCCATGTTTGTTACATAATTGTGTTGACTGATTCATTAACTTGTGAAGTCTCATTAAATTTTTATGGAATTTCTGAATTTCTACATTAATTTTAAAAAAATTCAGTTGCAGTGTACCCAACTACAAATTGATTGTTACTACCCAAAAACAAGTAAAAAAACCAGGACCAAATCAAATTTTACCTGAAGCTTTTCTACACATTGAATTGAATGCTTTGTCTTTGCACAACCTTTCTTGCATTTTTACTACATTAATATAAATACAGAATATTAGTAATCTCTGTATGGATATTTCACCTTCACAGATAGTGATATTTTATTCTATTTTTTAAATAAACTATACGGCATTAACAGTTCTATGTTTATACTTATTTTAATTCTATTTTTTAAAAAAAATCATCTTTAATACATACATAGTAGATAGAAAGAAATAATAATAATAATAATAATAAACTAAATATTACATTTTTCCACAAGATGTTCATGAATTTTTTTTTTAAATATTATCTGAACAGATTATAACTATTATCTATTATGTGGCGTACTACATATTTTAGAAAGTGGATAATATTTTGAACCAAGATTCACTACACAATCATTACTAACTCAATGAACAAAAACCAATATTAAATTAAGACTATCTTTTTCCCAGAAAATCTCCACTACAAGCCGATGGTACAATGTAACACTTCCACCACAAAATCGGCACATATTGATCACGTACCAAGTTGGACATTATTATTGTTGAAAAGTCTTTTACTTTAATCAATCAAAGCATACAGAGAATGAAAATAGCTTCATACCATGTACATTTACCACTGCGAATTATACATAACATCAAGGGAATTGAAAGCATGATCTCTTCCACTTGAAGCGGACAATTCTAATCCGACCAAGTTTGTTTGTTTGGTGAAGATCTGATTCTTGCTACTTGTGTAGTAATCCATTGGGTTACATGTCACAGTTGTTGTTCCGATGTATCGCCGCTTGTTCAGCAAATGAGCATCCACAGTTATCCTCGCATCACTAGCAAACCCACATGAGTATCCGAACGATGTGGTTCCTATCGATCGCCGCATACTCACTTTGGGTTTGGTGGTGATGCGAGGTCTCATGTGCAGGGCGCTGGAACAGTGCGCCATGCGCCGTGATCGATTCTGCCAGGCCTCCGTGTTCCGGTCAGTCAACAACACAAGGTCCTCACATTCTCACTCCTGATAAATCCACAAAAAGATGTCATTGTATCACTGATCGGAACCTCGCAAACTAGATTTGAAAAATGCATGATGTTCCTAGGCCCTCTGCGACGACAAAAAGCATCAGATCTGGCTACTCTGAGACCTCGGCATTTTCGATCCAAAAAAGTTTAAATGGTCGAGGATTTGTATCATGGTAGGATGGAGCTTCGATAGAGATTGAAGAGTGGAGAACAAGTACCTTCGTGAACAGACTGTCAATGACAACAGTGGATCTGTGTCCTTCCAAAGCTGCACTGTGTACACCTCTGAAGGAGATGTTTCAGAGACTTGCATAGAGTCCCCTGTCAACATGAAAGGAATTGTACCAAATATGTTCAGTCTAAAAGACATGGTGTGCACATTTCCTTTCTTGAACACACCGGCAGAGGAAGAAGAATACAGATGATTGCAACTAAATGAAGAAAGAGCATAGATACATACAACAATGCGCACGCGCCGTCGTCGTGAGCTTCCGCTTCTAACATTCACGGTTCTGGATTGGTGCGACTCGGCTTTCTTCGACTGGTTTGGTAATGGTGACAAGAGTTCCAATGTGGCCTTGTAAGCAGGAGACTTGTAACTGTCTCCAATTGATCTAGTTTTTGCATTATAGGAGCAGTTCTGCACCCACAAGCATGGCGTCGTGTTTGATCCACGTCCACTTTTGAATCGTAATTTGGACAAGCAAGCGGAGGATTTGGAGGCGACTGGAGTTGGTGAAAGAGGTTCAGACTCCACCACGACGCATTGAGCAAGAGGAGATGGAATCGTGTATGGTAGTCGTGTCGGGGGTTCGAGATCTATCAATACTTCCTCCTGGGCGCATGGGAGCTCGTCCTCGAGTTCCGAGGGAGACGTTGAGGATGAACCGCTACCTTTACCGTTGAAAAATTCCTCATAGTGCGATGAGTATCCATTTACCTCTTCGGTCCGCGAAGGCGAAGCAGGCGCAGTTTGAGAGGAACGGATAGGGCTCATTGGAGGCTTAGAACTTGCCAACTGTGTGTGCGATTTCCTACGCAGCTTGATCAGTGTTCCATTGTTTGATGTTTTGACATCGTCTCTGTCTTCGACAGAAACCATTTGAGGGGAGGCACGAGATTCGGAGTCATTGGAAGGATGCCTTGATGGCGATGAAGAACTGGGTAGAGTTACGTATGACCAATACTCTAACAACTCGGCCGAGACGCCCGACGATGAGTGTGAGCATGTCACACTCGGATATTTGTGGCTACGTTTGTCAAAGTTACACGAGGGGACACTATCAGGACCAGATAGTGTGCTGGTAGGGGAACGGACTGAGTTTAAGCGACCCTCGCAGTAGAATTCCTCACTTTCATACTGCGGTGTCCCGAACTGCGTGATTGGTCCTGATTTCGAGACTAATGAGGTTCTGCCTGAAGCATGACTCGGCCTTGCTTTACCATCTAATGGGCCAGAAGAAAAGGTTGTAGATAGAGTGAGACGCGAGAGTACTCCCAGCGGCGTCGATGGAGGAGATAGTGATTCCCCCTGCGATTGACGGCAACTGTCGGCTTCTGTTGCATTAGCAGATTTTCGATTGGCGGGCCGAACTCGAATCCCTGATGTGATCGACTTGCTGCGACTCTTGGTGGATGTCGCAGACGCACTCGAGCTGTTTCGTTTGACAGCTGCAGAGACGAGCCTTGGCGGCAATGACAGTGCCGAAACTGCTTCAGGGATGGCCCTGTCCTCGAATTTCGCTTTTCCAGGCTCTTTCTCCCACTTAAACGGCACTGCGGAACGAAGGGCTTTCTGGGGTATAGGCTTCGGGGGTGGAGTTGATGATTCCAAAACATTCATAGCCGGAGCAACAAGGTTAACGTCGGATGCACCAACTTCTTCATTTAATGGTTTATTCCTTGCCTTCTCGGATCCCTTCTCAATGCCGCCATAAAACCCGCGGTCTCTTCCAAAACTGAAGGCCACACTGCTGTCCTTCACCTTTATCTCATTGACATATGATTCTGTTGAAGTCGAAGAATTCCGTGAATGCACCTTCCCAGGGGTCTTCTCCCACTTAAAAGGGACAGTCACCATAGCCAAATGAGAAATTGCAATCTCATTCTTGTCATCGTCCAAGATGTCCCACGCAATGGACCCAAATGGTTTATGCTTGCGGTCAATCGTAACTCCAGCGGCTTTCGAATCTTTGTCTTCATTCCGAGCCACATGTTGCAAATCATATATTTCGTCAGTATGTGTGTTTAGTTCTGTAAGCTCACAGATCTGCGATGCCCTTCCCATGTCAGCCTTGTGCTGCGCAACCTCGTCAGCAATCCCAAACTCATGGCGTACATAATCATGATCCCTTCCATTCGGTATCTGCTTTTCTGATCCTTCACCGATGTTCGACACTGATGGCGAGGAATTCAAGGGACATGGTCCATCTTCTAAAGACGCAGTATCATCATTACCTTCCACTGGGTCACATGCCTCTGCCTTATCCTCTCTAAAACTGATTTCGCGGTTGAATTCTACTTCCGGTGATTCCGAACCATCGCTGAATGACCACCGGAAGTGAGTCCTAGCTCCAGTAAGGAACTCGAAGGCCTCTGTCGTGGTGGTGGAGAAACCAGGTAAAGGACTATTGAAGTAAGATGGAAGAGGGCTTGGACTTGGAAGAGGGCCACTGTAGTAAGATCTGTCTGTCCCCTTCGGTGGAGTGGAAAGTGGACCGCTGTAATAAGTGGATCGATTAAGAGCTGGAGGATTTGATTCGTAGAGGCTGAATCTATTTACCTCCCGACTAGGCAACTGCAAGTCACAGGGACTCCAGGGAGACTGAGGACGACTTGTTTCGGTATTGCTATCCTTTGGTGTGCAACTTCGAAGGGAGTAATCACGACGAGAGGGAGAAGGGGGCGGAATTCGGAATATATCACCTAAATTTCTAGAGTGGGAATCCATCTTTGAACTTGTTCATGAATTCATCAACCAAAGCAAAACCTCGAGATCAGAACGCCAGAAGCCCTACCCTCTTCGTGAAATCCCGTTATTCGACGTTTGCTTCCAATGTCACTAACTGCACTATGAGTCCGCCATTGCTTGCCTTAATCCGATACCTTACTGCGTCGTAACAAGAGCTATTCATAGATAGTCGGGCTTCCCTTGTGATATGGTAGCACACTAGCGTAGCTTCTGGTACCTTTTGCAATACGTGATGACAAGAGCAACCCTATCACTTCCAGAACACTTTTCTTACTCGCACAAAGCGCCTCTGAAACACCTCCAACCTACTCCAGGAGACTTTTCTGACGTCTCCTCAAGCTCATCGCCGTCAAATTCCAATGCCCCTGCCTGCCACGATGTCATTCCCTTCAACCATGCACGCCGCACAAATACAAAAACAGTAAACGTGTCATGGCTTCCAAGTGGTATCTCAAGCTGTCCTGAGAAGATCTACGGTGAGTCCGCACTCTAGCATTCGCAAACCGGCTCTGCTCAACACTCATCAGATTGTGCCTGTTACCACTGCAGCAAACTACTGCCCACGAACCCCCAGCAAGTTCTGCAATGCCGTAGACGATTTAACATTCTCAGCACTACATCAACCAACCTGATCAAGTAACCGCAAATTGTGACTACAACAACCCACCGAGCACCAAAGTGGATGGTAATCAGGTTGTGTGCTTGAGATGGGTGACCCCTGAGTCACGGCGGCAGCATTGGCTGAAAACATTAAAAGAAGTCTGGTGTGTATAGTTTACGAATCAAGAGTACAGCGAAGCGCAGGGATGGAAACATCGTGGCGATGTTGCAGGCACCCTAGCAGTGCCGAAAAAAGGTGTAAGATCTAACTTGGAAAGGACCAGCAGACGCACGCCGCGGCGATTTCTGTGCGGCGTTGCTAACAGTGATTGCTGTAGCAGGAGGCCGAGCAGCAGCATCAAGAGTCGATCCCTCGTTGCAGATAGATGCTGAGTTTATTAATAGAGAAAGTGGTTATGTGAACGACAATAACAACACATTTCTTTGTTCTGCTTTCATTAACTACATTTTATTGGGGTTATCCGAGCGTAATGGTCTTGCCAATGAACCTTTGAAAACCTAATAAAGGTGGCGAGTGAATCATTATTTTTGATAATTTTGTGGAGAATGAAACCAGCAACAACAAGGAGGAAAAAGGAGGACTCAAAGTTGCATCAAAGAAGGACTCACCCACATGTGAGACTTGAGGGGGTTGCACCCAAGTTGCATTGAAGAGCGAGAGAAAGGCAATATCATAGGGAAAGTTCTTAAAGGATTTTTACTTTTGTTTTTCAAAGCGTACTTTTCGCATGTAATTACTAACAACATTAGTGATATGGGGACCACTGGCACCCGTGTGCAATCACATGGATTCTCACATGTGCATTGATTCAATTTATTTTATTATTTATTGAATTTTTGTTGAACTTCTACACGACCATGAGTATCAAATGAGGAAGATCTCATTTGGTAAATCTTCGAAGAAAACCAATGTGGACCATACAAGGTAAAGTAGTAATTAAATGAGCAATTGATGTCCTCGATGGAAAAAGTATGGTCTTATTAGAGATTTTGTTTTATTTGTTACTAATTATGAAACTGGACAAACCTAAAAGCAACCTTCAGTTTGCCTTTGTATCCCTCCATTTAATATTTGCTCAAATAATGCTATAGTTTTTGTTTTTTATCCTAGAAAATTACATCATGTAATAGATTTTATATTGAGAATATGTTATCTATTGTTTATTGTTCTAAAAACTTATATTTATCAATTATCTTCATATTAATATCTATTGATAATTAATCTAAATATTTTTGTAAAAATCTACTTTCTTTATTTACTTCTATATTTTTTTTTCAATTATATCCTTATTAACTCTTGTATGTTCAATAAGTTTAATTAATCATTTATATGTTTTTGATAGAATTAAAAATTAAAATTAAAAAAATCACTTTTCTATATTTTCTTCAATTCTCAAATAATATTTAATAAATATAATAAAATATACAAGTTATCATATAAAAGAATTTATACTATTTATTGTAATATATATATATATATATATATATATATACATATTACAATTAATGAAAAAAATTATAGCCCTATATTTATTATATAAATGAATGGTTATATTTAAATAACATTAATAAGTTAATTATATCATGTCTTTAGAATTTGGTAATATCTTTATTTTTTTTAATAAATAAAATAATTATTGCTTTCAAATTATTTACATGCTTTAATTGTGTTGATATTATTAATAATATTACTTGCATTAAATATAATAATTATAAGATTATTAAAATTTGAATACATTGTAAATGTTGCAATATATCTATAAGTTATTAAAAACAAACATTTAGCAAGAATTTATAATTTTTAGAAAAAAAAATATTTATTAAATAAAGATGATAATCAAAATAAAAATATATACTTTTAAAATCTTTGTAATACATGATTTGAAATTTTGATTAATTAATTTATGTAAAATCTTTAATATACTTAATTTTATTATGTTATAATGTTATATAAAATATATCTTTGAAATATACTAGATATTTAGATGTAAAAGAAAATTATCCAAAATCTTTAATTTTTTTATAATCTATAAATAATAAAGTATTTAGAGATACTTTTTTGATAATCTTAATTTTTTTTTAAATACTAAATCAAAAAAAAATTACAAATTATGAATCTGAAATCTCAAATCTTATCAATCTTAAGTTTTTTTTAGAAACTTTCATTAAATCTTTAAGAAATTCTTTAAAAAAAACTAACAAACCTTTAAAAGTTCTAATTAAACCTTATAAACTTTAATAAAGATTCAAACAAATTTTAATCAAATCCTAATAAAATTCTAAAAAATTCTAAATTTCAAGTAAAAAACTTTAATGGATTACAACTTTTAATTATATCATTAGATTATTTTTTACATTATTAGATATATAAATCTTATATAAACTAATAAGTTTTAAAAAACCTCTAACTTAAAATTTATATATAACATATGAATTACAAACAATCAAAAAAATTAATATATTCTTATGTTATTAGAAAATTGTAGATAATTACTCAAAGATAGTATAATATTAAAATTAAAATAACTATTGCCTAAGAAAAGAAGATTAAAGACTCTTGAAATAAGACTAAGAGCAAAAAAGGCATTGATAAGAATGAGAAAGGTATTACTTTTGCTTCCATATACAATCTAATTAGGTGTCATGGACATACATATTTCTTCCAAAATTACCTATATGATTAATTAGAAGTAAATAAAAGTAGATTAATTTCATAATATCTTTTTAAAAAGTTTCTTAAAAGCTTCATAGATATTTTTTTGACTTCATATATATTTGTTGTTAATTGGTAGGCTAGAAACTTGGTTAACAAGTTAGCTATGTGACACTCTCAAGGACATGAATCTTGAAGAAAGAAAATCCTCAATACACTCTTGTGTCACTGAAAAGAACTAGAAAGTCATTCAAAGATGATATAATATTGAACTAGAATGGCTATTGCCAAAAACAACAAGACTAAGGACTAAAAAGGGGTTGACAAGAGTAAAAAAAGCTCCATTCTTGCCTCCATATATACTCTCTAACTAAGAGCTACATGATAATATTCTATAAGACCTCCAACATGTATTGACTTTGCTAGCCACATGTTTTAACTTGCAAGGCAAGTTATCTATGTATGCGCCACAAATTTAGCTTCTTCCACAAGCTACTACACAGAATTAACTTGTTCCACAAGCTACCAACACATAATTAACTTATTGACCAAGTTTCTAACCTACAAACACATCTAAAGTCAAAACCGTATCTATAAAAGTTGTAAGGAGCTTCTCTAAAAGACTTTAAGAAATTAATCTATATTTATCTACTTCAACCTAATCATATAAGTAACTATTAGAATAAATGTATATGTCTGTGACATTACCTCCCTTCTAGGGAGGAGTTTTACAAGGAGCAATCATCATCTTTCATAGATCTTTACAATTCTTCATTTTAATTTTGATGGATGTCATTGATAGAAAGCCTCAACCTTCTTTGTTGTATTTGTAAGATTCTTTGATGGCTTCCATGTGTATTTGCTAATATCATGTTCACACTAATAAACAAGATATTCTAAACTATTTTGGCATTGCCTTGAATCCAAGACTAATTCCACCTCATATTCTTCATTATTATCGACTTCTATAAGAAGAGGTGGCATTTGTCTTCTTCTCAAGATATTTACTATCTTATATGGCTCAAAAAGGGATACATGAAATACATGATAGATCTTCATATATTCCAATAGATATAATCGATAAGCAATATGATTGATTTATTCACAAATAATAAAAAGTCTTAATCTACGATAGTCCAACTTATCACAAGGACAAGTAGTCTTGATATTGCGACAAAATAATCATACCTTGTAACCTACATTGAATTGTGGTTGCTCCTTACAATAGGCATCCACATTGGTCTTTTGTTATTTTTGAGCTTCCTTTAATTGTGTCTTCATTGTAGCATGTAGCTCTGACAAACAATTTGTTAAATCTTCTACTGTAGGATTATCAACTTATAAATAATCAAAAGTATCAACTAGTGGATGATTACCATAATTGGCAAAAAAAGATGTTTGTTGAGTAGAAGAATGTACCAAATTATTGTATGCAAACTCTGTCAATGGCAAAAATGTTATCCAATCACCTTGATTATAGTTGATGGTATACCTCAAATACTGCTTTAAAATTTGATTCATCCATTTTGTTTGTCCATCAATTTGAAGATGAAAAGTTGAAGAGAGCTTTATATCCACCTTTAGAATTTTAAATAAGATTCTCTATAATCTTGATACAAATTGAGTCCTCCTATCTAATATAATATTCTTTCATAATTCATGATAGCGATAGATATTTTCAATAAAAAGCTTTATTGTTTCTTTACTTGAAATAGATTTTGTACGTAATATAAAATATGCCATTTTGGTGAACCAATCTATGATTATGAATATAAAGTCATATGAACTTGAACTTGAAAGATTTGTAATAAAATCCATAGAAATAAAAGACCATAGTTGTTTAGGTATAGGCAATGGTTGAAGAAGTCCATAAGATCAATGATGAGGAGTTTTTGATCTTGAATAAATATCACATAATTGGACAAAGTCTTTTATCACTTTCTATATTTGCAGTGACCAAAAATCTCTAGATATAAGTTCTAAAGTCTTATTATATCCAAAATGTCCTGTTGTTGGAAAGTCATGACACGCTTAAAGAATACATAAATGTGCTTCTCCTTCTAGAACATATATGCATCCTTCAAAGTAGAGTAGATTGTTCTTCAACTAGAACTTTGAAATATCATGAGATTTAGAAGAAAGATTCTTGATATTATAAATAAGAAAATCAAAGAACATACTTGATTGAATTTATTTGAAAAAGGTTTAATCAACAATCAATGTTGATTTCATTCTTCGGAGATGAAAATGCTTTGGCTTCAAGAAGATTTTTCTTTATTGATCAAAAGATATATTTCATTCTTTTGGTACAAAATAAGAACATTTAGAAAGAACATCTAATAAATCTTATTGTTTTTCAAGTCAATATGTGATTTTGAAATCAAATCTTGATAATGACATGCTCCAATGGGCTTAATGATGATTTAAAACTTAAGCCGACATGAAATACTTGAGGTTCTTCTAATCTATATATACTGTGATTGGACTTGAAGTGTCTTTTAGATAATGATGCCATTTTTCAAATGAATCCACAATTACAAGAAGTTCTTTGTTGTAGATCTTACAGTTAATCTCAATTACTAAAAATTTCTTAGAATAAAAAGCTACTAGATGGAGTTTGTCATCTATGCCCATTTGTGATAATACTGCATCTAAAACAAAGTCTAATGCATCTATTTCTATAAAGAATGCTTTAAAAAAGTTGACACAATACAAAGTTGGTGCAGAAGTAAATTCCTTCTTTAAAGCAACAAACGATGTTTTGGCTTCTTTATTCTACTCAAGTTTGTCTTTACAAGTCAAATTTATAAGTGGAGTTGCAACTTGAGAAAAGTTCTTGATAAAGATTCAGTAATAATTTACAAAGCCTAAAAAACATTGCACATCTTTTATTGTTTTTGAATCTTCCAATCTATGATAGTTTGGACCTTCTTTGGATCCATCATAAGGCCTTCATTAGAAATGATGTATCTTAAAAAGTCAACTTGAGTAGTGTGAAACACACACTTTTCCGTCTCAAGATTAACTATAGGATTCCAATGTGTGCAAAATATCAAGTAAGATTAATAATTTAATTAATAATTATTGAGGTTTTAGGACTACTTTAAGTTGGTTATAGTTGGTTAGGTTTTAGATTGGCATTCATTAGGATTTTAAAGATTTTTTAAGATTTTATTAGAATTTTTTGAAATATTTTTGGAATTTTATTAATATTTTTTGAATTTTACTTAGGATTTATTTAAGATTTTTTAGGATTTTTTTTAATATTTTTAAAGATTTATTCAAGATTTATAATAATTATTTATTTTTTTTTTAAATTTGATTATAATATATTTAGGATTTATTTAAGAATTTTTTAGAGTTCTTTTATTATTTCTTTAGGATTTTTTTCAAATATTTTTTAAGGATCTTTTTTTTATTATTGCTATACAAATTTTTTATGATTTTTTATTTTTATTTTTATTTTTTAATAAATTATCTATTTATTTTTTAAAAAAACCTTTAAGATTGCTTTATATTTTAATAAGATTATTAAATTCTTTGCTTCTTGCAAATGTAGTTTATCTTCTACTATAAAATACCTTAAGCATTTCCAAGTTAGTTTTTACATATTATAATATTGGTAGGTATAATTCACAAGCAATTGGATTGATTTGTTCAAAAATAGGAAATGGTTTTAGTCTACAATAATCCAAATTATCACAAAAACAAATAGTCTTGATATAATAAAGAAGTAAATATATCTTATTACCAACATAGAATTGAAGTTGTTCCTTCCAATAGACATGTGCATTGATCTTTTGTTGCTCTAGAGCTTCCTTTTATTGTGTCTTCATTGTAGCATTTCCAGGTTAGTTTTCACATTAACATAACATTAATTTTGGCTAAAGAAAAACCTTAACTTTTTATTTATTTTTGAAGAAAATGGTTAATATATAAATTCTATTAAATAATGGTTTTGACTTACAGTATATTTTAAAAAAATCATATCACAATTTTTTTATTTAATCTATATATATATATATATATATATATATATATATATATTTAATACTAAAAATTTTATTTTATAAAATATTTTTATGAATATACCATATATCTTATTTTTAAAAGATATTAAAATATTTTTTATTATCATTTTAAAAAAAAACTTAGATATTCAGATTTTTAATAAAATTTAAAAAATTTAAAATTATCTTACATAAAATGATAGATTAAAATATTATCATTAAAAATTAAAATAAAAAATAAAAAATAATATTTTTATAAATATTATGTTTTTATTAATCAAACCTTATAATTATAAATTAAGATATATTTTAATCATATATAAAATAAAATATTTTATTTATGAAATAACATAAAATAAAATCAGCACTATAATATGTTTTGTAAAATTTTGTAACATGAGTTATTAAATGTTTAGATTAATACACAATAATATGTTTAGTCATTAGATATAATACAATAGTTTTTAATATAATTATATCTTGGCTAATTAGTTTGGATAAAATATTATGTTATTACTAAGTTAATAGTGTGCAAATAAAATAGCACTATAATATGTTTTGTAAATAGATGGCAGTAAATTAAGATGAAAGCTCAAAAAAAAAATTACAAGTGAAATTTTTTAAAATATGCCACTAAGATTCTACTTCCCAAATTAGATATTAGAAAGAATAAAAACTTAGTACTATTGCTCATGTAAATGAAAAATGTGGACATGTCTAAAAACATTTATTGTGTTGCCTTCACTTGATAGCCTATTGGAAAGGAAGATATTTAAATAGCCTAAACCAAAATGAAATTATAAAATAATTTGAAAATAGCCAATGCCAAATTTATTATAGGGTATTAAAAGCACATGGCTTAACTAAACAAATCAGATACATAAAATAAGTTAAAGCCTATGTTGCCACAAAGAATCAATCTAAGATCAACTATATCATCCAAAGCAACTTCCATGGTACATACTTTATTTATGAAACATTCAAATATTTCTGTAAAAAAGTAATTTGTGTCCAAATTAAATATCATGTAGATAAAAGTCTGAAAGTCTTAATAGTAATATTAATAATAAAACACATCTATTTAATGAGTCTAGATATTATTTTGCATCGTGGCTAACCCCACGTGTCAAAGAAGAAATGAGACAGGTGGATTGTGTCTACATTACTCCCTCAAACCAGTAGTAGTCTGATTAATGGTTCCTCTTCATGATCTTGAGCAATGGAACAATGCATCTCCAGCTACAGCACAACGTTCACCCAACTCTCACAGGAAGCAAAAGAAATCAACAACTGCTGTTAGCTCAACGTTGGTCGAGATCAGATTCCTTCTCTTCTGTGTCATTCGATAGAAGCATTCCACATCGTTGCATGGGCTTGGACATTCACAATAGAATGCTGTGTTTGGACTCACCGACATCACCGCCGAAGAAGACGGAAAAAACGAACTGTGTGAACGGAGCTGTAGACGTACACGACGACGACGACGGCAAATACGAACGACGAGCACAAACGTGGGGTTCCCCACGTTGAACTTGGAGTGTGTGGGTGTCAGGCGTTCAGTCAGTCATGATGCGTATACGGTTAACCGAGTCCAGTTCAGCTGTTGGCATGGCGATTGGTTGGGTTCTTTGGATTTTTCTTTTCGACTGGTAAGATTTTCGGAGTCTGACCAGCAGTCTTGCGAGTTTAAGAATTCACAACGATTGGTTGATGAAATTGCGTTGTTCTACGCATGAGTTAGGGCTCAGGGAGAAGCGAACAGAAAGATACCTTGTGAGACCATGTCGCATTCCATCATGCTACAACTTTTCTGGAACTCAATTTGATGGCGATTTGCATCCAGTTCTTGAAGCCCATTAGCTTCACATTGATATGACCACTTAGCGAGTCTATTTACGATTCTAAGATGCTAAATAATGCATCTTCACATATTTATTTATTTATTTATTTATTTTGGTGAGGACAGGGAAGCCCTAAAAGATAAATTGATTGTGATACTTGATTTCCGATGAGTTTACTGATTAAGCGTAAATGTTGCCTCGGGCCCATTGTCACAATCCACTAAACTGTCAATAGTCTCTCCACAGGTGCTTTCTCGTATTTAACATGGATGCCCAAATGTAACTGGTTTGCAATTTTTTTTCTTCCCACCAACGACACTTGCCGGTTCACATGCAAATCGCGCAGCATGCGTCTACATTTGCCATTCACCAGAAAGAGGGTGAAGCAGAGGCTTCAAGAGATTTTAAGGCAGCGTGAAGATGAAGCACGCATTCAGGAAACACCTTGAGAAGAGTATATTGCACAAGAGCCAAAACCTCAAACAGAAACCATCCAATAAAGTACCTGCGAATGTGGAAGACGTGCAGACGTTCAAAGAGCAACGAGAGATGAACAAGTTCCGCAACATGCTCATCACCGATAATTTGTTGCCTCAGCATCTCGATAACTACTACACACTCCTCAGGTTTATGACCACTGTGATTGTCACCTTACCTTTTCTTTATACTTTAACCTGGCGTTATTAAAAATATTTTACTCTTTACGGTTCCTATCATGGAAAATATTTTGTAGCCTACTCAGTATACTGGATGTGAAAGGCTGCCAGAACTGTAATTTTAGGGCTTTCCATAACCCATACGCGCCCATTGCTAGAACGCCTCAATGCGTCAACTAAGTGTATATTGTCTTGAAAGATCTAGAAGGATTTGATGAAACTTGCGTTCACATGAAGTGTAGGTTTCTCAAATCCAGAAGGCATGACGTAAATAGAGCGAAACGAATGTGGGAAGGGATGCTTCAATGGCGGCATGAATTCAAAGTGGATACCATAAAAACGGTTTTGGATCCTGGTGCCATGATTTAGCATCTTTTGTAATTTACTTTTAAGATTCCTACACATGAACAAAATTTACAGGAATTTGCGGATACTGAGGCTCCTGTTATGATGTTGAACAGGACTTCCAGTTCACCGAATTGGATTCAGTTCGAAAATACTATCCTCAAGGACACCATGGTGTTGACAAAGAAGGAAGACCTGTTTATATTGAGCAGATAGGCAAAGTAGATGCACAGAAACTCATGGAATGTACTACCCTGGAGCGATACTTGAAGTTTCACGTTCTTGAGTTTGAAAGGACAATCAACCTCAAGTTTCCAGCATGTTCACTGGCAATCGAAAGTCACGTCCACTCTTCCACAACCATATTAGATGTTGATGGGGTGGTAAGTATCTGAAATGTAAGATTACATGATGTCGATGTTCGTGTTTCTTTTCGTCTGCATCGTTGTTGGGTCGTTGAGGCTTTGTTGGGGGTCGGTGTATGGCAGGGAATGAAAAATTTTAATAAACAGGCAAGAGACTTGTTGATCGCTATTCAGAAGATTGACTCCGCAAACTATCCTGAGGCAAGTGTCTACGTCAATCAATCCATCAATTGGTTTGTACTCCACACATTTATTATTGATGGAAATACATTCGCTGCATAAAAACAGCTGTTATGGTTGGCAGACTCTGTATCGTATGTTCATCGTAAATGCAAGTCCAGGATTTAAGCTCGTGTGGAATACAATCAGAGGTTTGCTGGATAACAAGACAGCTGCCAAAATCAATGTGAGTTTTCCATCCTTCGTTTTAAAAAACTGCTACGGGGACCTAAATCAAGAAGCACAGCTTGTGAGTAAATTAATCATACTTAGTCTAGTGCGAACGGAATGACAACACGTGCTTAGCTGCTGGATTTAAGTTGGAATGCATTTGTAATAAATTGTTCACCAAGCCCTAGTCAAAGAGTACTTGAGTATAATCGATTTTTCCTTGGTGTATAGGTTCTTGGGACCAATTACCAGTCAAAGCTGCTGGAGATTATTGACGCGAAGTAAATTCTCAAATGCTAATTCCCTGTAATTGTTCATATCACCTGGAGTTTTTTTGTGACCCGGTCTTTTCGACATCGTTAAGAACTTGTTTACTTGATACTGATTTTAACATTGGTTTCGAACATGCACGTTCCTGCCAGTCAACTTCCAACATTTTTTGGGGGAACTTGTACATGTGCTGAGGAAGGTGGGTGCTTGATGTCAGACAAGGGCCCTTGGAATGACCCAAAGATTGTTCAGGTATGATTGGTGAAGTTCATTTTTTTGTTTCTCTGCAATAAAAACCAACAATAAAATCACAACCTTAGTGATTCAGCAGCTACTTTCCTTTCAGGTAATGACATCGTTTTGTAGGTAATCGAAGACGAAAAGTGGAAGATCGCAACACGAGTTCCATCCATTGTCGATGACATGGTAGAGAAACATTTCGCCATTTGATGGAGCGAAGTCATGTAATGATGTGTTCGTGCTTGATGGTATTCAATATTGTGCATGGCACCTGGAAGATCGTATGAAGCCTTACTGCCGCCTCATCTTGTCGTGTCGCGACCAGTAAATTGATAGAATGAAAGCTATCACTCTAAGCATATTGGTCCGTTGGTTTTTGACAGGATAAAGAAGCAGCCACCGCATTGGGTCGTTCCTCTGAAGCTGGTTTCAGTGGGTCCAATCCGTCAACTCCTAGCTCTGCTCATGATCTCGTGAGTTCCTGACCTTATTCCAGCAGTCAGTGATCTTTCATACGGGGACCTTTAGAGTGTAGCAAGTTGTTTTTCGTCTAAGTGAATGCGTGGATTTGATTCTTGTGCAGAAATGCACTATTTTTAAAAATCATCTGAATCATCAATGAAAGTTTTCATTCTTGTAATACTAAAATTATTGTATACTACACAACCACAATTTTGCCTGAAGGCAGGGGGATCTCTCCGACAAAGAATCAGACCGTAGCTCATCAATCAGTGATTCCTCTCTAGACAGTAAGACCTTGAAAGTTTGTTTCTATCTCATTCAAGAACACTCTTGACAAAAATTAGCAAGTAACTATTAACAAAGAGAATTATAATTCAACAACGAATTGTTTCATGATTATAGTAGATATTTAAAAATACAAGATTCATTAAGTCTTCCGTTCAATCCTGGATTGACTTGCATTTATGTTGAATGCCTTCTCTTTCCAGAAGATTCAACTGATGGCGTTGCAGGGGGCTTCGTTTGGTATATACATAGGGGAGTAAAATTCACCTTCGGCATGATTTCTTTTCCGTTTCAACTTCTTATGCAAATAATGTCTGTTCTAGCTAGAATGGTATTTCGAACGCCGACGAATACTGACATTCACGAGCTTCTTCAAAGAAGATTAACTCAGTTAGAAGCTGAAGTTGAAAAACTGAAACCAGTAGGCGAGACAATACCAAAGCATAAAGAGGCGGCGCAATTAGTAGCGGTTGATTCGTCCCACAAAATCACTTCCCTTGAGACCGAATTGGCTAACACCAAAAAGGTAGGTTCCAATCCCCGAATGCATTTCACGATCAACTTCGACCTGAAACTACTCTATTTTCCTTTGCATCGTCACTCCTTATCCTAAATCTGATGCAAATGATATTTGGTTAGCCTGGAATTTAAGGACGATTTTAGTCATTTTCCAAGATAATTTCTTTTTTGTTGCTTAATTTTCTCGTCATGCTGACCATCATTTTCAATGCCTGTTGCAGACATTGAGATCTGTTTTGTCGAAACAAGAAGAGCTGTATGACCTATTGGAGCGCATACAGGATTTGAAGTGCGTGGTAAGTTCACAAGCTTAGTTTTTCTGAAGTTTTTGATAGAATGACGAAGTGACTTATTTAGTAAGAGAATATGTTGGTGTTGGTTGTTAGCGGTGGCCCCAGATCAATACTTCATGCTAGTGCATCCTTGAAGTAGATTTGTTGCTCGTCCTTATTCAAGTTGAGACGTGAATTAGAAGTGAAATGAGCAAGGAACTAAATATTGATGATGAAATTGCAAGTAGTGCATTCTTGAGCTGCATGAGTGAGCTCTAAATTCCTATGCAAAATCTGATGTCGAATACTGAGTGTGGGAATTTTTTCACTGCAGCAGAGATGTTGGTAAGATGTGCATTACGTGTGGTGACCAGATCAACATTTTGAAGAATAATTCTTACATCAGCTTCCAGATTTTGAGTCTTTAAAGGTGAAAGGCAATATGTTTGCTAAGAGCTTAGTTTTGGTGATAAGTGGTTAGCATAGCACTCATATTGCGATACGCTGCTGATCTCTTCGTATAAACAAGTTTAAATTTTAGGGTCTATAGTTTACTATTTTCTTCTTCATCTTATTTTTATTGAATTGACTTTTCAATTGAACTTTACCAGGCTTAAACTACTAAAAGTGTGCACCCGAGTCCCTCTTGGACCCTTGGAAGCTGGAAAACTTTCTAAAACTGTATGGCTAGTTATAACAACAGTGGCAGCGGATCATGTCAACCTTGAATCTGGAGTCTAGTTAGAATAGTGCTGTTTCACATCATAGATTCCAAAATTGATTGCTGAGGCTAGTTGCATTATGGGGTTCAAAAGAACGGAAAGAAAAGGTACCATTGTGTTATATATTTGTTTGAAGCTGGTAAAATTGTGCCAGTTAAGTATGCAGCCAATCGGAACAATTGTCACTCAGTTAATAGTGGCGCAACACGTTTCAAAGTACAATAATAACTTACAAAATAATTTTTAATTGTACTCTGCCGTCAGCAATCACGCAAGACTTCTGCCGTTTTGAATATAGTTATAAACCAGGTCCCACTTGGAGCAACTGTCATTGATTTATTTCAGATCAAACTTAGATGAGTCTACAACTTGACTAACTCCATCTGTATACATGGCAATTATTCGCAAAGAGAGAAGATCAATCAAAGCATTCTTTACGTAAAGCTCTACAATAATTCATCACAATTAGAGAAAATGGAGTCGAGGATAGTCATTGCCGAGGCCTTCTCATGGCAACTAGCGCAATGCATGCGGAGGACTTCAACCTTAACTTGATCCAGGCTGCCAGAAGCATCAGAAATAAAAACAAACTTATCTCCCTGCTTCCTATCGATCCCCATCACCAGCCTCTTGAGATTCTTGAGCTGGATCTTTTCCTCTAGTTGTGTGACGTCCACGGTCACGGCACTCAACGCCACTTTCACGACTCATTCATTGAACTACTCATTTACCAGCATTTTCTCCCGAAGGTGGACTATCACTAAGGCCTGTGGCAACCACTACAACCGAGGCCCCAGGAGTCCACAACCGACTACTCTTCCCAGAGGTCGCCATAGTTACAAGAGTTTTGTTTTTGGAGACACAATGAGGTCACAAGGATCGCAGATTGATGGGTTGAACTGCTCTAAGACACGACAGGCAGTTGCGACTGGAACATGGATTCTTGGTCCACGGATGTCTAATTTTATTCATCAAAAAACAAGATCGAACAAAAGCACGATCCTAACACTGAATAGCAAGGTAGATGTTCATGCCGAAGAACAATCATCAGCAACAGAAGTCACCGTGCAGGCAAGAACTGGTTTTAAAATTTCACTTTCAAGCAGGTTTACATGAGGAATTGATCTTGGAGGAGGAACGGCCGCGGTAGAGCACTCGCATGCTTGCACCCAACTTCCCTTCATCTGATCTCAAATTCAGTATTTTCAATACACTTCGTTCTAATTGTCGTGCTCAGCACTGAAACCAGGGAGATTGTTATTACAGTAGGACCTGAAGAGGTAATTGGATTTACGTGAAAGTGAGAGGCGAAGTGACTGCAATGGCACAACAGTGATGCTTGTATGTAAACAGCAGCAGCAACAACAACAACACTCTTGCAGGGCATCTCACATTATGGTGGGAGAACAATAAGACGGACAAAACATTTATCAGCACACAACCGAGAGGAATAGCTGATAACACAAACTGACCCTGACCTGGAAGGCTTGGGTGACACAGACCCAGTAAAGGAAAAGCCTGAAGATGACTTACCAGACCCAGTCGTGGAGGTTTGTTGTTGAGAAACTTCAACAGATTCTTAGATGTTGTTGGATTGTGACATTTTGGGACAAGGAATGTAATATCTAATAATATTTGTACATGGCAAACTCTCAAACATTTCTCTTAAGTAGCTTGTGTTAGTACCAAGAAAAATATGCACACTTTTAAAATAAGAAGACCTCTACAAAAAAGAATGCATAATAAACTGGCATTGATGAAGTTTTAAAGAAAATTAATTGTTTTCTCCTCTACAAAAAAGTATGTTCATATCAAAAATAGGTTCCATATATTGAATTCTTTACTACCTTTTCAAAAAAAAAAATACAAATACAAATACAAATATGGATAACTCTAAGATCTATTAAATAAATTCAAACAAATTGCAAAGTTCTTTCTATTAAGATTAGAATAATCCTACATAGAGATGAATATAAATCAAGTCCAATTGGTCTTAACTTTGATGTGGCTATTGTTTCTCAAAGAGGTTGAAGTTTTCTTTCAAATGATATAATATTATTTTATGTAATATATATATATATATATATATATATATATATTTTAATGCAAGTCTTATAGTAAAAGTACCTAGTTTATTGACAAACAAAACAAGGCTTATATGACTTCAAAATATTTATATATATTCACACTACTAAGTGCATACAAAAAAACAACAAAAAAGCCAATTTCTACCAACCATTAATAATTCAATAGATCAAGGCAAAATAGGCCTTGTTAATATCAACCAATCACTATGCTTTATAAAATTACAACTATGATTATGACAATAGGTAAAAATGATAAATAAGACTATAATCAAATATCTACTTCAATAAAAATAAAAAAATAAAAAAATTAGTACATAACCGTTTTACTTTATATGCTCTATTATGAGTTAAGAGTTAGAACTTTTGATATTCATATAAGGGTATCAACCAAATAATATAGAAATTTTAAAAAATAATCTGAAAATTATATTATTATGTCTATATTTTGAAAAAAAATTACACTCAATTACCAAATAAATCTAACTAGAACCTAAAGATTAAATTTAGTAAAAAAATATTGTAAAAAAGAAAAAAGAATAAAAAGAAAAAGAAAAAGAAACTAACATATATTCAAAACTAAATAAAATAAAATTGTAGAGGGAACCAATACATAGAATATTAGATTTTTTGTCTATTCTTTCAAATTTAGTGTATTAGGTTTGAATTCAAAGCCATTTAACTAATTAATTGTATTTGATACCTTTTTTTCTTAGATTAAAATAGTAAATGAATACATAAATAATAGTTTTATTATAAATAAAATATTTTATAGAAAATCTTATAATTGTTTATAATATAGAGTTTGGTAAGATTCAACACAACCGAGTTAATTATCTCTTCTCTTTCTTCTTGTTCTTTAGGCTCTCCCTTCTTTACAATTTTACATTCATCCAAAAAATACCAAAATAGAACTTACAAGGTGTTTTTTTAAGACAAAATTTTTAAAAGATTAGATTTTTTGAGGATATTTAAAATATATAATTCTTATTTTAGATCTTATCATTAATAAATAAATAAATAAATAAATAAAACTTCTAAACATCAAATCATCATTTATCTTCTATTTTAATTATATAAAATATTCACACATAATAAATATAATATAAAAGACCTCAGTAATTCTAAAAAAATAAAATTAAAGAATTATTTTAAATTCATCTTAATGTCATATGATATCTTATTAGTTTAAAAAATATAAATTTATGTTCTGCTTATTCTCTCATCCAAATACATTGCCCAAAATTAAAAACTGTATATGTCTTGCTACATCAAAGAAACTATATCACCCTCTTCATAGCCATCATTGGAGTAACCATTGGTAGGTGTATTTTTCTCTTTTTTATTATACTAGAACCATAAAAATAAATAAAATAAAATAAAATAAACAAGAAACCATTTATATAATAAATTATATTTTTTAAGTCCAATTGACTTTGGTTCAAAAAAAGATAGCTTTTTATTTACTTTTACTTGTGTATTGAGTCCTTAGTGAAGTAGCACTAACAAATCATATCATCCATGCTTGAAGATAATTTGTAGGTTCATTAGAGAACTTATATTACAAGCATTGGAGTTAAATGTAGTTACTAAAATAATGCCACTAGTCACTTTAGACTCTTTCCACATCAGTTGCACACAATAGTTTCTAATCTACTAGTGTGGATTTTGTGGCATCATACTACATTAGAATTTGAGCTTTACATATTTTCAATACCTTGTGCTTGCCAATTTTTCTATGGTAATAAGGGGGAGCAAAGGCTTTCTCTAGTTAAATCAATTTCATTCTCTGTTTTTTCTAATCGTTGGAAAGATTGAAAGTGGTGGTTAAGATATTGGATGAGAACCTCAGTTCAAAATATAATAGTTGTAGTTTTGTATTTGCAAAAAATCCATGTTCTTCTCTCTGCTTCTCGTCTCTCTTACAAGCAACAAGGCAGCACTTTTCTCGTCACCTTATCCCTTGGGACCTGCACTCCACATTCTTTCACTACCAGAGCAATCACACTAAAAATTTCAAACTCTACCTGGTCCAAAAAAAAATTAAAAATAAAAAAATAAATGCCTAGTCCAAACAAAATCTACTATGTCTTGGATGAACACTGGTTTCAGAAAAATCGTGTTGCTCTATTCTCACTTCGGGGGGGGTCCACGGTAGTGGTATGTAGCAGCTTATGACATAGCATGTAATAACAATCCTTGAGTCCAGACTGAACTACAGATGGAGATGTTCGAGATGTCAAGTATGCTTCTTATGGAAGCATGAAACTCCCTTGTGACTCGTATGCCTTGGTTTGTCCGCTTCGTTATTGCATCTGTGGATCTGGGGCGTAGGTTTGAAGCGGTAAAGGGTTCATTGCCATTTCTCGAAGACAATGTTGGAGTTCCTACACCATGTCAGGCTTCAATCAGGATATACGAGAGGGTAATGTCCGGTAGAAGCATGGCCAACCCAACCATTTTTCTTGCTAGATTCTTGAGGACGTTTGCATTTGGCTTAAACATGCGTTGACCGACGTGCGCATTCCCGTTGTGAGTGGAGATTTGACGCGTTTCTCCTCAGGTTCCCTAGCTTTTCTTCTCCGACTCTCTCCTTTTGCCTTCCCCGACTGAGGTGCCTTCGTTTTTCTTGTTCATTGCATTAGAATTTACGACCCTTAAGGATTTAGTTTCATCTAGCTTGATCGACCATACTGTATGAAGAGCTGGGTTCACAATGGCTTCTTCCTCCTCGATGGCTTTGCACCCAACCACTGCATGAGATGGGCTTCGCAGCGAGGGACCCAACCCTCATGGGGTGGCCACTGTAGGTGTGCCCAGGCTTGCGATCACGCTGTGACAAGCTCAGCCGGCAAGCCAGAGCATGTGTGAATTTTCTGCGCAGCGGAACCGAGTGAAAAGGATGGCAACCGAAATCCCTTCCTAGACGGACATCGAGGTTTGTGCAACCATACAATTCACCGATTTTCTGAGAAAAGAAACCCATCAGCTAGGTGAGCGTGGTTTTGTGTGGGGATCTTTCAACGACCAAATGCCAACTTGGAACTCAATTATCTACCATGTGAACCGGCAGTCTAACTTGTTGATCTGCATATTGACCTTGGT